GTACTAGGAACCCAGGACAAACACCAGACAAATTCATCATTATATTGATACGAAAAACACTGGTAGCAATGAACATGTCTGCTGACAGAAAAGATTATGTTAATAGTATGAGTTACTATATATGCATATTAAAAAAACAAAAGTAATCTTAAGGAGAATGAGAAACAAAATGTATCAGTAAGAAGACTAGAAACAAGATGTTTCCCCAAGGGAAGCTGGAAGAAAAGAACTTGATCAACCCAACTGAAGATGGGAAAAAGAAGGGAGAACAAAAGAAGTAGCAGAAGAGATGGTAAGTAGAAAACATAAAACATCGTGGTAGAAATCAAGAATTCCTAGAAATCAAGAAGAAAGTGACAATCTAATACAAAAATGGGCAAATGGTATAAATAGGTAAACACCAAAGGAAAAAATAAAAATGGCCAACAAAAATGAACAGTGGAGAGGAAAATGCAGACTGATACAAGGTAATGTTTTTCCTTCATCTGACTGGCAAAAGTTTAAAAGGGTTGGGACTTCCCTGGTGGCGCAGTGGTTAAGAATCCGCCTGCCAATGCAGGGGACACGGGTTTGAGCCCTGGTCCGGGAAGATCCTACATGCCATGGTGCAACTAAGCTGGTGAGCCACAACTACTAAGCCTGCACTCCAGAACCTGCAAGCCACAACTACTGAAACCCGCATGCCACAACTGCACCTAGAGCCCGTGCTCTGCAACAAGAGAAGCCACCGCAATGAGAACCCTCTGCACCACAATGAAGAATAGCCCCCGCTCGCTGCAACTAGAGAAAGCCTGTGCGCAGCAATTAAGACCCAACACAGCCAAAAATAAATAAAGAAACAAATTTGTTTAAAAAAAAAAAAAAAAAGGTTTAAGAGAACCATCTCCTCTGCAGAGAGGATCTGGGCTGGCCTTCTCATGCAATGTCGGGACAGGTACAGCATTTTTTGAACAGCTTGGCAGGATCTGTCAATATTTTAAATGTAAATACATACACTTTTACTTGGCAACTCCACTTTTAGAAAACTACCCTACAGAAACATTAGTGACATTATTTGTAACAGTGACAACTAACAAATAAATAAATGTTCACCAACAGGGAAAAATGGTTAAATAAATTATGGCACTTCCATATTATGGAATACTAAGGAGTGGTTAAAAAGATCAAGGTAGAGCTATGTAAATGGACACAAAAGATATGCAACTGTCGAATGAAATAAAAGTTAAAATTACGTAAAAAATTTAAAACCTAGAACAATATATGTTCTATGATTCTATTGTTTTTTTTAACCTACCTGTCTACCAATCTACCTACCTACCAATCTATGTGTAAATGTGTCTGTAAATTCATATAAATAAGTGACAGGCTGACGATCCCTTATTTTAAACCTCAGAACTACGTGAGTTTCAAAAGTCAGAATTTTTTTTCCGATTGTAAAGGTAAGATGGGGGATGTACCACACATTAAGTAACATCTCCAGGAGAGCCTGCAGCAGCCTTCATAATCAAACTCATTAATATGTTTACAGTGAGATGTGTGATTATCTACAGTAGTAGGATAGATGATGGTAATAAATAGCCTCACGTTGTTCAGGTCAGACTTGCTACCACATGAAGACAGGTCGGATTTTACTGCCCCAAAATTATGAAAACAAACAAACGAAACCCTCGGTTTTGGATAAATGAACTATGTATCAACTAAGATGATATCTGGGATGGGGAATGGAACAAGGAAAGGTGAAGAGGCACTTACATTTCCTGTTCTACATTATTCTGTTCATTTGGATATTCATAATAAGAATGCATTTATGTTACCGGTTGTCAAATTAAAACCCATATGTAAAATTAAAAATGAGGAAAGATGCCTCAGAGAGTACAGAAAAGCCCAGAGGTGCAAAGAGCAACCCCAAATCTGGGAACTGCCCCAGAAGCTCCTGGAAACATTCAATAAATATTTCCTGAAACAGCACACAGCATATGAGTAGGAAGTTCTGGTTCTCAAATACTCTTTCTGTATTGGCTGGTCACTTGTTTCTCGTGCTCAGAAAACGTTCATTGAGCATTGCATATGGCAAGCACCTCAAGTTCTAGGGTAAACATTTTTGAAAGAAACTGACACTTTAATCATTCCAAGGGTTCAGTCAGTCCAGTGGTGCCAGGCAGACCGTCCACGAGGCTGGGTGAGAAGGTATTAAATGAAGCACACGATGACTGTCTACATGTCAGATCTGGATCTCAGGGAACCATCCTGGTTCTTCCAGATCATGTCAGCCTCAGTTGCCAAGGCACCACCATCTCCAGCAAGCACACCCTCAGCGGCCTCTGCTCTGGAGGACCACAGATGAGACTGGAGCTCCCTCTCCCTGCTTCCCCTGTATGATGCTGGAGGAATCTGCATCCCTCTGCTTCACCCCAGGTATTCAACCATCTCTCCACTGCTGGAGTTCAGCACAGCCACTGGTCCCCGCACCACCCTGTCCTCAGGCAGGTATTGACAGATGTCTGGGCCCTCACCCCCTAATCCACTCTCAGCTTCAACACCAGCCTCACAGGCTTCCTCTGTCCTCGGCTGGGCCCTGCAGCCTGGATTCTTCATCTTCATCTTCGTCTTCCATGCCAGTGACCCTGCAAACTCCTAGCTCAAGAAGGTCTCGTCTGCTTCCGTTCCAGTCTCCACCGGGCTTCACCATCTCTCCACACTGTTCCCCCCCTCCAGCTGCCAAACTCTCAAATCTTAAACTGGGAGCGGTGGCCTCTTTCCTCTTGCCAATGTACTTGATCCATCACTGCAGCTGATGGTGAGCAACAATTATTTTACTACATCTCCACCCCAACTCAACTCAGAGTCAACTGCTATCAAATTAGGTATGTGCTCAGCCTGACCTTCGCGTGGTGCTACAATGCAGGCCCAGCCAACTTCCTCACTTCCCTCTCATGCCGTCCCTCCTGTCTGGCTAGGCTGGAATATTCAGTGTTTCGTGAACTCTCCTTGCTTTCCACCTCCAGACTTTGCTCACCTGGGAAGTCCTCCCTTCACATCTCTCATCAGCATCCTATCAGTCTTCTCAGGGTCTGCCTCTGGTTCCTGATTCCCCCTGATCAGACCTAATCTCTCCCTCCTTTGAAGCAACTAAGAACTCTGTACCTTTTGTGGCACTGCCTTCATTTTGAACTATGGCATCTGTGGATGTCTGAGTTTTTATACCAGATAGCAAGCAAGTTGGAAATGCCCAGTGCAAGGTAGGCCCTTGAGGCTCGCTGTCTGAATTCACACCTTCATGGTTAGTTCACAGACTCCATAGGCTAATAAGGTCAAAGTCACAGACTCTGACCTCCTGGGGTCAGCTAGGTTTGCTATAACCTGTTTATGGCTTCTGGGAACAATCGTGACCGTGGTCACAGGGAGAATGTGTGAGTCAGTGTCACACTAGATGAACGAAATATGCCCAAAAATCACTCTGAATGTGCATGAGACTTTAATAAATAAAAAGATGTATCAGGAACACAGTTACCCACCCACCTTACACGTCATCTAATCTAACTAGCACAAAAATTTCTGGGGGAGGTGTTTTCTTATTTTAAGACTAACACTAAGGTCTCAGTTGAGTTGACTAAGTCAGGTTAAGCAAGGTCACCCAACGCTAAGTGTTAGAATTGAGATTTTAACCTGGGTCTGACTCAGAGACCAGTGCTCTTTGAAATTCCCCACATCTGTAAACTTGTACACTTGTGACCTGTGTACTCACAAATATACTCTCAAGTATATTCACTGGTATACTCACAAGTATACTTGTGACTTATATATTCACAAGTCATGTTCACTCCCACATTGACGAGGTCACAGATACAAACATATCTCATATTGTAGCTTACTCTTTTTATGTCTTTTAAAAAAAATAAACTTTATGGGCCAAAAAAAAATAAAGTGAAACAACACCGTGGTTAAAAGAGCTTCCAGGAAATGCAATCAAAACCATAGTGAGATATCACTTCATATCTGTTAGAATGGCTGTTATCAAAAAGACAAGCAATAATGTGTGTTGGCAAGGATGTGGAGAAAGGGAAACCTTTGTACAGCGCCGACTGGAATGTAAATTGGTGCAGCCAGAGGGATATTTTGGTATATTTCTTCCAGGCATTTTCAACATGTAGCTTTTCTCCATAGTTGAAAAATAGTTTTTCCGTAGTTTCCATGTTGTATAAATAGTTGTACACTCTGGTGGGTTAGTTTTTTTGCACTTATTATAACAGATATTTTCTGATGTGACTGAAATCTCTTCCTGAACGTCACGTTTACTGGTGATGCTTACTTGTCTACCATTTTCCAGTGCTTAGGCTTTGGGGGCGTTTCTGGTTTGCTGTTATAATGTGCAGAGCACAGGACTTTTTTCTCTAGAAACCTCAGCTTAGGTCTTTAAGATCCATTCCATTACAGAGAAGTAAGCGGGCAGCAGTCAGCTCGGGGAGCAATTTCTCTTACTTTAAGAAAAGCTTTCAGGGGCTTCCCTGGTGGCGCAGTGGTTGAGAGTCTGCCTGCCGATGCAGGGGTCGCGGATTCGTGCCCCGGTCCGGGAAGATCCCACATGCTGCGGAGCGGCTGGGCCTGTGAGCCATGGCCGCCGAGCCTGCGCGTCCGGAGCCTGCGCGTCCGGAGCCTGCGCGTCCGGAGCCTGTGCTCCGCAACGGGAGAGGCCACAACAGTGAGAGAGGCCCACGTACCACACACAAAAAAAGAAAAGCTTTCAATATAAAGGTCAATTTTGGAGTCCTTAGAGAGATTTAAATAATCAGCATTCAGAAAGACAGTGGATCTAGTTACACACACTGGTACTTTAGGGTCGAGTAATTGTTTTAACCTTTCACCTAGCGCTCTCGCCCTACAGCAATCTGAAACCAGGGCTGGGAGTCCCGAAAGGCAACTTCTCCAAGGGGTCGCGCCCCTGCCGCCCGGACACACCCGCGCAGGCTTCTGAGTGCGGGCAGCGGCCCGGGTCCCCTTACCTGGGCAGCGCCAGCTCCTCCTCCGCACGGTCCCAGGAGCTGGCGAGCGAGGGCCGCGCCAGGACCCCGTCCAGGTCGAACACGGCAGCACGCAGCGCCATGACTGCCTGCACCTCAGCCTTCCACCCAGGTACAGACCGCTGCGAGGAGATGGGCGAAGGCCGGGGCGCGGGACCACAGCGGCGAGCCGACGGGGCCTCCCAAGTCGAGTTCGGCCTCGCCCAAGCCCCCTGTCCTGGCCCCGGCTCCGCCCCTGCCCCGGCTTCCGCCCCACCCTCTGTTCTGGCCCCGGCGCCCCCAACCCCCTTGCCCTGGCCTCCGCCTCTCCCCCTGTCCCGGACTTGACCACGCCCCACACCCGCCCCGCCCCCTGTTCTGGCCCCGGCCCCCCTCAGCCCCTTGCCCTGGCCCCCCTCACCCCTTTGACCTGGCCTCCGCCTCGCTCCCTGTCCCGGATTTGACCACGCCCCACCTCCGCCCCAACCCCTTGTCCCGGTGCCGCCGGCGTTTCGTCCCACCGTGCCTCCCTTGATGTACCCGCACCCACGGCGGCCTGGGCTCCATCTTCACCGCCTCCCGGCGCCTGGACCCTCCCGGAGAGAAGGGGGGGCCTGAGAAAGAGCCAGAGGCCACAGACCCTTGAGAGAGAGAGAGCGAGAGATGCCCAAAGTTTCTTCATTAAATATTTGGATCCTCTATATTCGTTTTGGTTGTCATATCTAGTAAAGTAATAGCTTTGTTGCCCTTCTTTTCTAGATTCTGTACATATAGTTACAGGTCTGTAACTATCCTGACCATGAGCCTCTAGTCACACTCTTCTTTGTCAAAGCAAAATGTATTTCTAGGATAAAATATCATGCTCCAGGTATTGTATGCCAACCCAGAAGACGTCCATCCCAGTCTCTTGTGAAATGAAGTTTAGAAGGAATAAATGTGAACTATGATTACCCCTTTGTACGGCCTTCTTATACTAATGCTGCCTAAAAATGTTTGAGCTTTGTTTTAAACCACACTCTTGGCTCATTTGTGTTTCTGGAAAACCTAAGCCTTAGGAGTGTCCGAGCTGTGCTTGCAAATGGGTTGTTGGACTCTTTGTGCCTTTGTAGTCAGCTCCATGAATTAAAACATACTCCCGGCCTGATGTTCCAACTTGCCACGAGCACAGCTCAGGACATAGGTGCCGAAGACCTCCCTCCCTCCTTCACAGTGTCATCTGTGAATTTACCCAAGATATTTTCCCCCTTTAGCTAGAAGAATGTTGTAAGAGATAGATACCCTGCTGAAATCAAGAAATACTTGATCTACCAACCATCAATCTGATCGACAAGAGAAATGAGTCTGCCTTGGGGTGTCTTGTTCTAGTGAACCAGGACCACGCTTGCTTCTCTTGCTTTATAACCTCTTCTGGGATTGTGCCTGAGACAGTTAGTGTTTTCTGAGATCCACTCCTGAGAAGCAGGAAGTAATTAACAACCCCAAATGTTGTAGAAATAACTGAAAAAAAAATTCGATATTGCACTCAGATGACGCTGGGTGACCTGTTTCAGAACACTTTCAGTGGAGTTTTTGGGGATAGACGCTAGATTACCCTAGATTTGAAGACTGAGCCAGAGTTAAAGTGAATACATACAGTAGTCACTCAAGAAGTTGGTGATCTCAAAAGTAAAATGAGTTAAAAAAAAAAAAAGAAAGCAAATGGCAGCCTGCTTATGTAGTATGAAACCACTTAAATTGAAATCTCCAGTTTAGACTTCCCTTTACCTCCACACTTGCATATGCAATTTCTTAGTCAGCACCTCCTCATGAATATCTCATAGGTTATCTCGAATTTCTCATGACTGAAACAGAACTCTGGCTGCATTCCCACCTCCCAAGCCTGCTCCTGGTCTTACTAAAGGGCCTTCCCTTCCAGTTGCTCAATTCAAAGAACTTGGACCCCTGGTTTCCAGCTAACCCCTGTGTCCTTGAACTCAGTCCCAGTGGTGGCCAGCTGATTGGGGCAGAGGTGACAGCTTCCACATCAGTGGTGGTGTTTTTCTGGGAGACTTTCTTAAAGGCCCAGTCTGAGGCTCACTACGCCATTCTTTTCAAAGATTTTGCAGGTTCCTAATTTCCTGTATTCAATCTCTCCCTATTTAAATTAACTAGAGTGATTTCTCTTGCCTGATGGGCGCAGTACTGTTTAGGAATACATGTATGTGTTTGTAAAATGTAGCAAAGTGAAGAGAAAGGTCACACTGACCGAACTGGATTTTATAAATCCCCCTTAAAAAAAAAAAAGAAACTTAGAATATGAGACTCCACTTTAGATGGAAATCATCTTTGGTGAAGAGGAAATTATGGAGTTGTCTTATGGACCTTTGTTTGTTCCTGGGCTGTAAACTATAACACCTGGGGAGTTACAGAGCTTCCTGGATGAATTGCTTAGGCAAAGGTTAGAGGTCTCGACTGCATTTTACTGTGCTCTGCTCTTTGTCATGGGTCATTGTCCCGCTATGCTTTCTGCCACCCAAGGTACGGGAAGATGAGAGCTCACTCAGCTGGGCTATGGAAAAGGGATATCTTTTTGAAATGTACATCCTAACCCTTATGTCTGCTAATTTGAATATTTATAAAATTTGTTTTAGGTGATAGCACAGATTCATAAAACATGGCTAATGTAGTAGGGAAAATTCAGAAGTTACATCTGCTCTCAGTCACTAAATTTGTATTGAACTCATTACACTGAACTCATTAGATTTCGTGTTGGATTCCCTGCCCCTGCTACCCCTTTCCCACCTCCTGCTAGGCCTTGGTTTTCCAACGCTACTTTAACACTCTGTTTAATTCCTAGTGGTTGAGAGAGAGGTTCACACTGCTGCTTCTCCTGCTGTAGGTGTTTGAATCAAGCTTAAAGTTGTCTCAAGCTGTTTTCTAAACCCACATTCCACGTGAAGCTTTGTCTTTCTTTCGTGCAGCAAATGAATTTCTTTTATTCATTCAACAAATATGTATGGAGCACCTGCTATGTGCCACGTGCTTTCTTGGCAATTGGGATTCATTGGTAAATAAAACAGACAAAAAATAGAGATGACCAAGAAGTTTCCATTTTAGTGGAATGATGAATTCAAGGAGTTGCCAGTTGTTTGTGGGACAATGAGAAAAATGAGACAGGGAATATTGATAGTGGCTACTCGTCGTGTTTCTTCTTTGTCATTGTTTTGGCTGCCAACACGTATAACCTCTTGCTACATTTGGAAAATTCTGCCCCGTAGTGGACATCTATCATTCAGAGATGCACAATGTCCTTCAAACATTGCTCTAATTTAATATCTCACATTTTGAGTTTTACCTTCTTAAGGTAGCCTCCACAAACACCACGTTAGCTGGGCTCCCTTAACACTGATCACGTGACATGGGCTCTGCCAGTCACGTGAGAGTTGGGTATGGGAATGAGCAAACAGAAGCAACAGCTGTGTGAGCTGGAACTTTCTTCCAGCCACAGCAGTAGCAGAGGCATCTAGTTTTGATCTTGGAGAGACAGCAGGGGCTAGAGGTCATAGGCAAAGTGGCCCTGACTCTTTTCCCCGTTTGAAAGCTAGAATGTTTCAAGGAGGCAAAAACTGTAAAAACAGGTACAAAGTTTATTATTAGAGACAGAGCGCAACCTGTGGGAGAGCGCACAGAGAAGCAGTTTGTTTATTTAAGACAGAAGCAAGGCAGAAATACACACCCAGAGAACAGTGCTGGAGTCCTGAATGAGGAGGCAGTAAGGAGGTGATTTAAATCACTTATATAGGGCAGTCCTTCCAGGTCTTTGTTTACACTTGGCCAATTATCTTGTTTCTTTTTTCACACTTGACTGGTCCCAGGACACTCCCCAACATGCATGCACAACTTTTTGTTAAGGTGGATCCCACTGCAGAGGCCTGTGGGTGCATGTCCACACTTATTATGCAGTGGCATCCCCTCCCTTTCTGACCCACAAGGAGCCTTCCTGCGCATGTGCAGTCAGGGAAGTTTTCCTGACCTCAGGAGTGGCCGTCTTATCTCTTTATTTCAGCGGAGCTCAGCTTCTGCCACTAGCTTTGTCCTTGGAGTGTCTGGGTGAGAACAAAGCTTCAATTTTACTGCCCTTGACGAACACCAGCTGTCCAGCCCAGGGGACCATCTACCTCCTCTCTCAGATTCTCTGGGGAGGCTGAGACAGAGCTTCTCCAGTCTAGCTCTGGCTGTGCATGGTGCCAATGGGGTGACACAGTGATGGCTTTGTTAAAATTGTACCTGGTGTGGTTTGCTGTCACTGCATTGTTCTTGGCTGTGTGGTTTCCACACCTGCGTCTCTTGTCCTCCCTGAGATCCTGTGAGTTATCAGTATCCTATAATAAGACGCTTTCTGCTTATAAGACTGAGAGAAATGTCTGTGGTTGCAAAGAAGAACCCTGTAAGACGTAGCCACCTTATGAATCTTAGAAGGAAGAGCCACTCTGACCATAGAATCCAACAATGCTAAGGGCTCACGTTCTCAGGTGAAGGCCTGTGAGCTTAGCTCAGCAAGTCAGACGCACCCAGTCCAGACCTTACAGCAGGAGCTGGTGAGGTGAGCAGGGCAAGACGAGAAAGGTTTTGGTTGGCAGTTTCGGGGCGGCAGCAGCAGCCGGGGTCCCCAGCTGGCAGGGACGGAGCAGGCCCTGTGACCCTCTGCTTTCGGCGGCAATAGTTCCAGCGCTATAGTTGACACTCATAGTGCGAGCACTTCAGCAATAGGGTCCAACTCTAACTTTTACAATGACGAAGGCTGTGCCTGCCTTTTCTTCCTTACTTTGTTAATCTATTTTATTTTCTGCCCACTCCATTACTTTATATGCAGTATGCTTTTGATGGACTTTATGGTTTATTCCATAAGAAACAGAATTTCAAGATGAGGTTGTGTCAGGATTAGAGCAAGAAAGTGCATTGTCTAGAGAGGCAAGACTTGGAGCTAACTGGAGTAACTGACGAGATGTAAGACTTTGTCCCTCTGGGGTTACGATGTGCTCTTTTGTGTCTGTGAGGAATGGCTGTCTTGTGTTAGTGTTCTATGTTTTCTTAGATTCACTATTTGTCGGTTTGGCATCCATTACAAACCAGGCAACTAATGGCCAAAGTTGTTTACATCTTCCCAGTGATCCAGCCTTCATGGGAGTACAGACATCATATTACAAACCCTCCAGCCAATCTCAAGTCCACACCCCCGGCCATCTCCTTTACCTCTCTCTCACACCAGGCCAATATTTCCCCTGCAGTGAATCACCCCAGGGCCAGGTACTGAACCACTGGAGACCACCCCTATACCCACAGCCCACAAAAATGATTCAAACTATCCAGTCCTAGGCTGCTGACCCTGTCCTGCCTTACCTTCCCTACAGAAACTCCAATACATTCTCTGGGCCATGTTTTCTCCTTTGCCCTTCCCGCCCTCTGTGTGGCCCATGTGCTTCCCCGTGTGGCCCTACGTGACATGCCATGATTCCTGCTTCTGGGGATCTGTGAGTATAAACTTCTTCCTCTGTGACGATCATTCCCGTGTCTGCATGTCTTACCATACCTGATTGAAACAAATGCTGGGTACACATTTTAGAACAGAATGTGTAGGTGTAAGCATTTTTTTCAAAGTGTAATTATGGAAAGTTGGGCGTGCCTTGGTGGGAGGAGGCAAAGAGCAAGATGTGAGGGAGTTTCCCAGCATTTAAACTCCTTTCAAATATTCTGGGAAAGTTCCCACCTTGAATGTGGCAGAAGCCACCTTTCACATAGAAGCTCAAAGCACCAGATTCCTGCTTCCTCGGCCTTCCATGCATTTAGTTCACGAGCACGTGATTAATCAGGTGCGTTTATCCTGACCTTTGTACTGGGAGCTAGTGCCACAGTGAAGTAGGGATAGAGGAGAATTAATCCTGGCAGCAGCAGGAGTGGCTGGTTTCCAGGGACAGCAGTGACAGCAGCACCAGTGACAGACGGTGCAAGGTTTTGCGTCCATTTCTGCAGCAGCAGGGCCCACTATGCTGGTAATAGCTTGTGATTTGGGCTTTAGTCCGGCTGGTGTTTCCCTCGCTCTCACCTGTGCTCCAGGGGGGGTTCTCCAGCTTTGTAAGTACACCTGTGAACTTCCTATTGCCCTTTAATAAAATCATTTTCTGCTTAAATTAATCAATAGATTTTTATTGCTCAAACCAAAGACCCTGTTACAATCTATTATTTTCCCTTTTCCTTCCCTCTTTTCTTCCTTCCTTCCTTCCTTCCTCCTAGCTGTCTCTCTATATGCATTTAATACTTGCATAACTTTATATACACACAGATATACATATATATCAATATGAAAGTACTTATGGTAAAATATTAACATTTGTTAATTCTGGATAGTGGGAATGTTGGTGGTTACTTTTATGTGTTTTAACATTCTCAAAAGATAATACTAGCAATCACAGACACATGTGTAAATATATGCACATATACATCATATTTGTATATATCACATATATATCGGGTTGGCCAAAAAGTGCGTCTGGGTTTTCTGAAGATCTTACAAAAACCCGGACGATCTTTTTGGCCAACCGATATTTACATACGTACACATATATATCATGTATTATTTCAGTTTTCTAAGCCCTTTATTTATACTAACTCATTTACTCCTCATTACAAGCTTATGAAGTGGAGCCAGTATTCACATCCTCCTTTTACATATGAGGAGACTGAGGCACAGAAGGCTCTAGAGACCTGTCCCAAACCGCACAACTTTAAAGGAGCAGAGCCAGAAGTTAAACCCTGGCAGTCATGTCCTGCGTCCTTGGCTTTTAGCAATACGTGGGAGACGAGATAACAAGGTGCAGACCCCAGAGTGTTTTTAGGATGGAGGATGAGCTTCCTCATGGGCTGAGGGGAAGGAACAAGCGAGAGGGAGAGGGAGATACGAGAGAGCCGGGCGACATTTGATAGATGGGGCCACCGCCAGGATCACAGGGCCACGCTTCGCCACGCACAGCAGGAGGAAAAGGACTCCTGATTTGATGCAGGCGAGAAGGAGGCAAAGGGTCAATTTATGGTTTGAAGGAAGGTGAACTTCCTTATCTGGGAAATTGAAGGCAAGGTCACCAGCAAGGAGGTCGAGGAGGAAGCAGGCAAGCTGCAGCCAAACCAGGTGGCAGCTTGAGGGAGCCGGGGTCCTGCAGGGGAGAAGGGGAAGAAGAGAACCGCAGGCTGCAGACTGGCGGCTCTGTCCTTGGTCCTATTTTACTCAGAGCTGTACTGCTCTATTGACAGACAGACCCAGGAGATTCCCCATCTATGGGTGAGGTTGGGGGACCCCAGGAAGTGATCCTGGAGCGCAGGATCCTTCAGAGCAAAGAACGAAGCATCTTCGTAACCAGACGGCAAGTAATCTGCTGTTGGTCCCCACTGGACAAGGACTAGATAATCACAGGCTCCTCCCCCTTCCCTCCAGAGAGGGGGTGTGTGTGTGTGTGTGTGAGAGAGAGAGAGAGAGAGAGAGAGAGGGAATGAGCATGCGTCTGTGTGCCTGCCAAGCTGGCGGTCCCTCCTGTGGACCCGCCTGGCTCTTACCTGCAGAAGCATTCGTGCCAGGCTCTCCGTGCTATCCTCCTCAGCAGGACCTGCATGCAGCTTCTCTGGTCACCAGAGCTGGGAGCCTGGGCACAGCAGCCTGTCTTCAGAACTTGTCCAGCCCTCCCCAGGCAGCCAATCTGACTCTCAGTGTCAGGTCTCCCTCATCCACCAAGGCATGTCCTGTCCCAGCATCTTTTTGACAAGGAAATGAAGACACCCAGCTGTGCTCTGCACCTGCCTTTCCATTCTGGGGGGACTTTGGCCAGCTGACCAGGACCTCCAAGCCAGGCTGGTACTCTGTTCTTTGAATGGCTTGTCTTCTGTGGTCACAGGTAAGAAAGGTGCCCCCGAGCTTGTGTTGGGGACATTGTGAGGGCGGTTCAAAGTGATATGAGCAGATTAGCAGCTTCTGGGCACTTAGGAGGGAGGTATGTCAGAATGCTGGAAGTTGCCTGCTTCTAGAAAAATTTTAGTCTTTTGGTTGTCCCTGCTGGGGCTGTCCAGAGCCCAGTGACAGTCACCCCCTCCCACTGGTGAGGGTGGCTCCATCTCAGGACTTATTGGCTTTACTTTGTTGAATCTGCTTCTATGTCTTTATTACCACTATTCCTCTTTGGTCATTTATTTATTCACTCAGTAAATACTCTATACGCTTTAACAAAGGCTAACAGACATCAGTGTTATTCACTGACTTGGAAGATAGCAAGTTCTTCATTGCTGGGTTTTTTTCTGAGGCTGGAATTTGTGGAGGAAAATGATCAGCTGGTGTGGTAATCCAGATGACCTTTAAGATGCCACCCGACCTTGAGATGGCAAGCTTCTGCGATTAACTGATGTATTGAGCAGATCAAATATAAAAGCTAGAAATAGGCTCTCTCTTCCCTAAGCATCTCTGATGAAATGATTTGGAAGAAAAGACACTTTCATTTCCTCAATCAAGAGACTTTCTTTGGGGTGTTGACAGTTATGGGAGCGCAATGACTCCCCTTGGGATTGTGCCAGATGGTGGAGAAGTGTGGGGTGAAATCGAAGCAGGTTTTATGGAGAAGGTGGGGCTTGTGAAAAGAATAGAATGGGGGTGAGAAGTTGAAAACCAGCTGCAGTAGGAAGATGGACAAAGAAATCAGCCCACATCACCTTGACTTCAATGGAACCAGGATTCAGGATGTGGGCAGAAGAGGCTGACTTGAATTGGGGTATGGGGCGCAGGATGGTCTGGACATTGCAGCGATACAAGCACAGTGAGGATATTGGCGTCTGAGCCCTTTACATATGCAATATTTTTTGTACAGGTTTCTCTGTGAACTCCATTCACCCAGACCCACTTTACAAACAGGGACATCAGCCCGCAGACACCCACCCCCATCCCCGAACCTGCCAATCCGGCCACTTAGAGGATCAAAGGGTCCAGGACTCTTTCTCTTTCAATAGCCTTCTAACAAGAGGTGGAAGTTTAATCACTGTCAAATACCTGGAAGAATTTCTCCTTTGGTTTCCGGTGACAAATTAATGAAATTATCATCGTGGGCTAATTACAAGGGATGCAAATTTGAGGCATCTTGCAGGAATTTGTCCGCTGTAGTCAATTCAGTCTCATTTGGACATTCTTCCAGAGGGTCCAGGATGTCTCTGGTTGGATCTTTATACGATGCAAGTTCAGCATGCCTGGACTTCTATTTCTTTTCCCCCTGTTCTCACTAATGGGGGAAAAAAACCATGCTTTTATTTAGTGCCTTTGGTTGAAAGGTGAAACAGATTATAACCTTGGGATTTGTGCATGTGATATCAGTTGGAAGGAGAGGTGAGTGAAGCTGCACACAGAGGAACCTCTTAGAACCTTGGATCTAAGAGGTGAGCCTGGCTTTGGGGTAGGGCACCTGTACCTTGTCGCCACCTGTCTGCCACAGACCTCAGTCGTGATCGTGGCTGAGCAATGACAATCATGGTGCTAAGATCTATAAAACACAGTCGAGTACTGGCTGAGTTGCCCATACAAAGTTATCCTTCTAGTTGGCACCACTGAGTAGCACTTGAACACGTTATAGTTTAGAAGCTGAAGGTGTGAGCTTGAATCCTGACTTCATAGCTTTTTAACTATGTGGCTTGGGCAAATCAGTCAACTTTTGTGAACATCAGCATTTTTTAAATTTAAATAAAAGAGATAATAATAACCCTTCCCCATACCTTCCTAGGGGTGATGGGAGGCGCAAATGAGGTCAAAGGTGTGAGGCACGAAGGTTCACTTGTGTCAAAGATACATCATCCTAAGAACGCTTTCCTGGGCTCACTCAGGCTTGGCAGTCAGAGGGAGCCACGCGGAATCCCCAGGGAGCTCCGCAGTGCCAGCTCCCCAGGCCCTGCTGGGGAAGCGGTCCGAGGTTCAACCCACAGCCAAGGCCCGGCCTGCCCTCCTTCTGATGTCCAGCGGCAGCCGGACCCCTCCTCTGAAGCCATGGGCCCCTCCCGCCCTGCACTCCCGTCCACGACAAAGCTCGGGCTGTGGTGGCTTCTTCTGATCCTGGCAGGTGAGTGGGGATGGTCCCTAGGGCATACTGTCACACCTGTGAGCTCACACATGCCTCGGGGGGAAACTCCTGCAAGTGGGCTGGTGGCAACCACCACAGCCGCAGGGGATGGAGCTGTTCCACCGTGGGAAGGTGGGGGGGCGATCGCTGCGTCCCCTGAACCTCCCCGAGTCGCAGTGCTCCCCATCTGCAAAATGCCAACTGCACTGTGACCCTCCCAGGGCTATTGTGTGGTGACCTGGAATGAGAGCCTGTGACTAGCGCCTGGGATACCGCTGGCACACGGCAGCTGTTCTTACCGATGTTCTGAATTTTAGAGCAGTAGTTCTCAACCTGCTCAGGCAGGAGAACCCTGAAGAGGTGAAGCTGTTTGCAGAACACGGTGAAATCAGACACGGATGATCCCATCAGACAACTGGGGACACTCTGCCCAGCTGATGAGAAGGAGCAAATGCCTGTGGTTTGAGGATAAACAGGCAAGATGCTCCAAATGGAAGAGAATTTCATGGTTGGCATTAGTGGTTCATTACAAGAGGATGGGAGTGAAAGTTCCCGGGGCCAGGTTCACGGTGACACGTGAAGCCCTTCCCCCTGCAGCTCACCCCACACAGTCGGGCTTCTCCCCCACGTTGCTGTCCCTTGGGGCTCCCCAGTTCCAGGCTGGATCTCATCCCCTGTCTGACTTCTTCTCACTGCTCTGCACCCCTCTCAGCACTTGTTTTCGCTCCTTATCCATCAGTCACAGAGAAACTGACATTTCTTGAGCACCAACCATGTGCTGGTTGCTTTGTAAGCTCTAACACACATGATTATATTTCCTCCTCGATAGTGTTTTGAAATAGGTTCTGGATTAGTGCGCCCATTTTGCAGATGAGGAAACTGAGGCTCAGTGAGGTTAAGTGGCTCTGACTGGACAGGAGAGGGAGCCAAGCGCCCAGCACCACAGACTCCCGGAGACCCCTCTCTCCCCTCCTGTCCCACAGCATCCGTGCAGCAGGCCTCCCCCACCCAAGCCGAGGACCGCCTCTTCCAACACCTCTTTAGGGGCTACAACCGCTGGGCTAGGCCGGTGCCCAACACCTCGGACGTGGTGATCGTGCACTTTGGGCTGTCTATCGCCCAGCTCATCGACGTGGTGAGTCTGTCCTACCATCCTTTGCCCCCTTGGGATCGGCCCCAGACATGGGTCTCTTTCTGGGGCTCCTCGTCCCTCCCCAGCCCCAGCCCTCCCAACCCACCTCAGTCAGAGCATCACCCCTCAGAGCCTGGGGATGCTGCATCTCCCTCCCGCTCTCAGCCCTGAAACCCCTCCTGGGAGGGCGCTGACCGGCAGCGTTGGGTTTTCTAAATGCCCTGCCCTGCTTGTTCCACCTGACATAAGCCCAGAGGACCCCGTGGAGATAATCTGAGTGAGGGTGGCAGTGTCAGGAGGGGTGGTGGGTTGGCTGGGCTTGCAGTGTCACCTAACAGGTTCTCTGGTGAGTGGGGGGCCTGAATAAGCCCCTCCCGCCCTACCTTGTTTTCTGGGGCTCGTTCATCACTCTCATTGCTTTCTTTCCCGCTACTGGCCAGGATGAGAAGAACCAAATGATGACCACCAACGTCTGGCTAAAGCAGGTGAAGGCCCCTCCCCTGGGCAAGACAGGAGCGGGGTGGGAACCCACAGAACCCAGTGCCTCCCAGGACTCTTCCACTAGAAGCATGATTCTGAATTTACCTTTTGCCTGAGTTGCCACTCGGGATGTTCCCAAGGCCAGCCGACTGCAGACTGCTTCTCGTGAGGGACTGTGCTCTTGTGTGGCCAGGCTCTGCCCAGCACCTGAGAATGCCTCCTACAAGAGCCACGTGGTCCCCTTTAGGACTGGGCATTGCCTACGTCCCTGCTACCGTTTGCAGATCAGCTCACTGAGTCATCACTGAAAGCCATGCAAGGTTTAGTTCTGCCATTTTATAGCTGAGGGCAGAAGCAGAGGGCAGCTGGGCTGGACAAGGGCGGCCCAGGTGTGCCCCACTCAGAGCCCCAGGCTCCTTCTGCAGGAGAATGCTCAGTGCTCTGTGTCTACGCTGCCTAACAAGCTACCCCAAAACTCACTGGCTTAAAACAACTGACAGTTTATTACATCTTTAGTTTTTATGGCTAGGAGTTTTAGTGGTTTCTTCTGCTTTGCACAGGGACTCCTGGGGTTACTTGGTGGCATTTGGCTGGTGGCTGGTCTGCTCTGGAGGGTCCAAGATGGTTTCACTCACAGGTTCATCCCTCAGCAGAGATGTCTGGAAGGTTCTGTAAGCCAGGCCCAGCTGGGCTCTTCTCCAGGCACTTTCAGGGTCTCTCTGCCTGTTCTCTCCAGTAGGAGAGTTCGGACTCCTCACCTGATGGCCCAGGGACCCCAGAGCGAGGGTCCCAAGAGACAGGAAATGAAGCTGTTGTCTCTTAACCAGAAACTGGCTCAGCATCAATCCTGGCCAGGGGATGGGTAGCCCTCTTTGATGTGCCATTCTTGGGGCAGAACTTAGGGACACAGGCTTTATAACAGCCTGAATATATTCTCTCCTCTTTACAGGTGAGGTGCAGAGCCATGAAGGGACTTGGGAAGCCATAGCAGTGCAAGGGTCAGACCTAGAACCTGGGTGGCCATAATTGTCCCCATAGGCCAGTTACCTAGGCTTCAGGGACTGGAGTAGGGAGGAGAGGAAGGAGCCCTGGAGCAGGAGTCAGGCCAACCAGCACCGCCTCTGATTAGCCTGTGATACCATGCAAGTTAGTCTCAGAACCTCACTTTGCTCATCTGTAAAATGGGGCTAATATAATCTATTGCCGATTAATATAACACAACTTGGTGTAGATGCCCCCCAAATGTTGGTTGAGCCTGAAAACTTAACAGACAATGGACTGGGAGGAGGGGGTACATTTATGAAGACCAATCCCTTTCAAAATTATTCCTCAATGTCCTGAGAAATCCTGACAATTTTAGCAACACTTTTATCTTTCCTACTTTGCAAGTCTGGCCCCTCTCTCTGCCTAAGCCTTCCCCTACAGAAAAGCAATCAGCACCACTGCTGCGCCAGCATCTTCCCAGGTGTAGTTTCGGTACCAATGGCAGTTTTGTGAGATGATTTTAATTGGCTCGCAAACCCTTTTTTTAAATAGTCATATACTTATATTTTAGTGGATGGTTTCAAGTGCTGTGGGTTTTCCAGTTATTTCAGTGATGTAAAATTCAAAAATTTATGTAGGTTTAAAAATAATGAACTAATTTAAAGGAAAATACTAAGTAAATGCTAATATAGGCATTGCAAATATATTGGCAAAAATTATGAAACTGGGACTTGAGTGCTTGAAGTTTGTGAACCATTGAGCTGGATCAGTGCTTTTCCTCTCATGTGCCTGCTTCCTGCAAACACTCCTGTTTCCCTTACTTCTTCCTGGATCCCTAGCCCGTTGATGTGTTTGTGTAAATGTTACATGACTATCCTTAGAGGGGAAAAGGCACCACGCATGGGAGACTTTTCAAGGGCACATCACTGCCCTATTTTAGTGCAAATGCACAAAAGCAAAATGGCCCCTAGAATTAGGGCAAGTTTGGAGACAGGGAAGGCTGGGTTCAAGCCCCAGTGCTGCCACTTATTGACAGCGTACCCTCTAAGCCTCACTTGAGAAAACAGATTCGCTTGGACCAGCCGGTGGAAACAGGGCTCCTAGGGGGCGCTCTAGCGCACAGTTGGAAATCCACTGGGTGACTCCCCTTTCTCAGCTGTGTAACTCTGATAAAGGCGTTGTTTTACCCCTCTTGTCCTCAGTTTCCTTATCTGTTAGATGGGGAAATACTTCCACCTGTTCTGCACTCTTTGCCCGGCTGTCCCATTGAGGGTCTTCCTAGACAGAGGGTGTGAAAAACCTTTGTAAACTGCAGTGCAGTAAAAAATGTTACTACGAATGAGTGAGGCTGCTTGCCGGGGTCGTCCAGCTAGGGAGTGACAGAACAGAGGCGGGACTAGGGTGACCCGTCCTCCAGATGTGCCCGGGACTTTGAGTACAAGAGAGGGGACAAAGCGAGGGCTAGATTATTTTAGACCGGACTCCCCGTTCCCATCTCAGGGCCCTTTCCCGGCATCGCGGCCCTTTCTATTCTGTGGGGCTAGGTGAGGAGCTCCGGGTGCTCCAGAATCCGGCTGCTGGGCGTCCCCAGACTGCCCTAGGTTTGCTCCGAGGCTCCCTCTCCCGGCAGGGCTGCTGACCTGACTCCCCTCCCCACGCACAGGAGTGGAACGACTACAAGCTGCGCTGGAACCCGGCCGAGTTCGGCAACATCACATCCCTCCGGGTCCCTTCGGAAATGATCTGGATCCCCGACATCGTCCTCTACAACAAGTAGGAAACGGCTGGGATTGTGGAGGCCCCTTGGGACCCCTGAGACAGGGGGTTCCCTGCGAAGGGCGGGTAACTTGAGGCTAGGCTGGGTTGGACTTGGGAAGTGCGCCCCCTTGTGTCCAAGCTGCGTGACCTTCCTTTCAACTCCTGCTTTGCTCATCCTCACCTCACCACATTTTCTCTTGATTCTCTTATTTCTTTCATCTTGTTCTCTCACTCATACACCCAAAATTTATTGAGCACCTACTGCATATCAGTGCCTGAGTTGTGCTACTGGGACACAGCTGTGCCAACACTGAGCATTATTTGAAAAATATGATTGGTGCAGGCTGTGAAAAAAGTGCCTAAGTGTTGGAGTTTTGCAGGATGGCATTATTGTTGGAACAGGTAAGCAGCATCCCAGGGTTACAACTTTGAAGGGATCAAGCATGGGTGTTTTAAAAAATATTATTTATAGTTGCCCTGTATGCAAAACCAAAGAGGACCAATCTTTGAACATAATGACTAGAAGTTAGTAAAAGGCAGGGGAAACTAAAGAGAGCCCCAGAGGACCAAGTCGGTTTTTTTTTTTAATAGAAGATATAAAGAGCTATAATTTCATTCATGTTTGGCATCAGGTAATTCTTCATTTAGAAATGAAGAACTTAAAAGATATTTGGCATGATGTTTGTCTAAAAATATTTTCTGAAGTGGGACTCTAGGGACCACTAGTTCCTGGGGATATGAATAGGTATGAAAAATAGTTCTGTGGTCAAATAATTTTAAATAACATTGTATGTCGTTAAAACCCTTTCTGCACCCCAACCCCAGTCCTTTGGAAAATGTCATTTTAAATGTTGTTAGAACTTGTACAGACAAGAAACCCCTTTAGCCCAGCATTTCCCAATTCATTTGACCCACATTTAGAAAAGCTATTTTTAAACAATAGAATAAAGGGAAACAGATCCACTTCTGAAGTTAGGTGTCTCCAGATAGGTCAGAGGCGGGTGACAGTGATCCCTTTACACTGCCCTGTCCTGGTCAAAGCCCTGTCATCTGAGCCATCTCTGTAAACACACATTCAGCATGAATTACCTGCAAGGTCTAACATTGCCACTGGACTCACGGACCCCTCACCCCGTATCTGCACCCAGGATCCCTCTAGTTTCTGCTTCCTGTGCACCTGGCAGAGAGCAGAAACAAAGTCCTAGCATCAGATAGGACCCAGAGTTTTAGGATTGCCAATAAGGCTTTGTCCAGTGTTACTTGATTATAACAGGAAATTCTTTTGATAGGACAAAAGTTCAAACCAAATTCTTGCAGACATTTAAAGAAGGGTATCTCCTCCACCCACTCCACTTCAGGTTAAGAAGACCCGGGGAATTGCTTCTTTCCTTCCTCAAAATGGGGGCACATGTTTCCATCTAGTGGTGCGTCTGTATGATGACAAAAATGCTTTAAAAAAAATTTTTTTTAAACTTTTGCCCTGATCTGTTTGTAACTCCCTTTCAAAGTTCTGATTTCCAACGTGCCTAACTCTCTATCCTGGAACTACTTCAAGGGAAAGAAGTCTCTCTTCCTCTGTATTCTTTTTTTTTTTTTAATTTTATTTATTTTCGGTTGCGTTGGGTCTTCGTTGCTGCGCGTGGGCCTTCTCTAGATGCAGTGAGCAGGGACTTCTCATTGCGGTGGTTTCTCTTGTTGGGGAGCACGGGGTCCAGGCACGCAGGCTTCAGTAGTCGTGGCACGTGGGCTCGGTAGATGTGGCTCACAGGCTTAGTTGCTCCCTGGCATGTGGGATCTTCCCGGACCAGGGCTTGAACCTGTGTCGCTTGCATTGGCAGGTGGATTCTTAACCACTGCGCCACGAGGGAAGTCTCTCTTCCTGTGTATTCTTCTGGTTCCCCTGTCTTTAGGATTGATCGTGGGAACTGGATAGGGAGGGAAGGCGGGGGCTAAGAGCTCACTGCGCCACCTCGCAGGGGAAAATCAGACTCAGGCCCGAGTGGTCACCGCTGTTCCAGTGTCCTCTGTATCCTCATGGGCCCTAGATGCCTTAAGGGCTCTCACGACGCCCACTCGGGCCCCGCCCTCACTCACGCCCCGCCCCCAGCTCGGCCCAGCAGCTCCTCCAGTCCAAGCACACACTGTGAGTTTTATCCTTTCCCTCCTCTGTTCTTTGTTCTGCGGATGCTCTGCTGGTCTGCCCTCCACCCCCAGCTTTCTGCCAAATCCTACCATCCATCAAGGCTTTGCTGAAATGGCAGTGTGCATGGTGACCCTGCTCACGGGAAGCGGGTTCCCCCCAGTAGTTATAATGCTGTTGCCAAACCGCCTGCCTGGCGTTGTAGGTGTTCAGGCCTGCTTCTCAGTTCCTCGTGGTTCCCTAAGGGCAGGCATGAGTCTCCCCTCCACCAACAGCTCCTGCAGAGGCCCCAGTGGGCGCGGCTGGCTCAGAAATGCGTGTTGAAGGAAGACGGATGGCGTCTTCCTTCACCAGCAAAGATATCAGGTGTCTTCTGAGGAGGGAAGTAAAAACCTCAGGTGTAAATGACATGACCCCCAGCAGAGGGGCTTAGTCACCATCTGCAGGGGTGGGGGGTGGAGGAGAGAAAAAATACTCATGTGAACAATCACTTTAAAATGTTAAACGAGTACATACAGGCCATCAAACTACAAATATACCACATGATCACAAAAGCGTAAAAATGCTGTATGTGTTATCTAGATGACAATCAGATATACATGAGATATAGATATATCTCATATGTGTATAGATATAGATCTATAACATCAAAGCGTTAATAGTGGTTATTTTTAAAATTCTTGGTACTTTCCTATATTCTTAAAAATTCCTACTTTTGTAATTAAAAAATGGTGTCTGAAAGACAACTCAGGTAGCTCTAGATGTCTGTGTGCCGGGGAGTCTTACCTGCACAAATCCCCACAACTTGGCCCGGTCCGGCTGTGTTATTGGGGTCCCCCTGCTGAGTGTTACCTTGGAGCAGTCTGGCTTGGGTGCCCGGGGTGCGCAGGGTCCCCCCAACGCCTCTCCTCTCCGCAGTGCAGATGGGGAGTTCGTGGTGACCCACATGACCAAGGCCCACCTCTACTCCTCGGGCACCGTGCACTGGGTACCGCCCGCCATCTACAAGAGCTCCTGCAGCATTGACGTCACTTTCTTCCCCTTCGACCAGCAGAACTGCAAGATGAAGTTCGGCTCCTGGTCATACGACAAGGCCAAGATCGACCTGGTGCCGATGCAGCAGACGGTAGACCTCAAGGACTACTGGGAGAGCGGCGAGTGGGCCATCATCAACGCCACGGGCACCTACAACACCAAGAAGTATGACTGCTGTGCCGAGATCTACCCCGACGTCACCTACTACTTCGTCATCCGGCGCCTGCCGCTCTTCTACACCATCAACCTCATCACCCCCTGCCTGCTCATCTCCTGCCTCACGGTGCTCGTCTTCCACCTGCCCTCCGAGTGCGGCGAGAAGATCACGCTCTGCATCTCCGTGCTGCTCTCGCTCACCGTCTTCATGCTGCTCATCACCGAGATCATCCCGTCCACCTCGCTGGTCATCCCGCTTATCAGCGAGTACCTGCTCTTCACCATGATCTTCGTCACCCTGTCCATCATCATTACCGTCTTCGTCCTCAACGTGCACCACCGCTCCGCCAGCACCCACAACATGCCCCACTGGGTGCGGGTGGCCTTTCTAGGCTGCGTGTCCCGGTGGCTTCTGATAAGCCGGCCCCTGCCACCCTTGGAGCTCCGCGACCCCCCAGATCTGAAGCTCTGCCCCTCCTACCGCTGGCTGGAGACCAACGTGGATGCGGAGGGGATGGACGAGGAGAAGGAAGGCAGATGGGCACACGCGGGTCACTCGTTCCCCTTCACAGGCGTCCCTTACAGCCATGGGGGTCTGCACCCAGGGGCCTCGGGTCCCAAGGCGGAGACCCAGTTGCCGGAGGGTGGGCCCCTGCTGTCACCTCGCATACAGAAAGCACTGGAGGGCGTGTGCTATATTGCTGATCACCTGCGGGCCGAGGATGCAGACTCCTCAGTGAGTGGGGGCTGGGGGTGGGGCCCGTCCCCTGGGTGACTCCACCGGCCTAGTAGGGAGCCATCCCTCCAGGGTGTTAGCTTGGGTCAACCTAGGCTCCTCCATGAGGACCCATCTCCCTTAGTCATGGCCTTGGAGTCTGGAATGAATTGTGGTGGAGAATGTCTAGCTGGCAGCTCTGAAGACGTTTATTGGGTAGGAGGCAGAACAGCAGTAAGAATGTCCCCGCTCAGCCTAACTGGGAGACACAGGACAGAGCTGGAGGGGGTCTCCCCACGCCATCCTCACACAGGCCATTTCCCACCATTGCCCGTAGGCGGGGTGGGGGGGAACTCATCAGGAGACCCCGAACAATCCAGCCTCCCGCTTTGTCCTGACGGGCCCCTCCTTCTTGTCCTGGCCTCTGGGCATTTTGTGAACTTCACTGTCCACTCACGAACACTGAGGAAGCTTGGATGGGCCTGTGGGCTCCCCTCCCCCGCCCCCTGCTGTGTCCTGCATTATTAGGTAAGGAAGCCACTGCCCAGGGTCACAGAATCCTTCTTATCAACTTAGGGAAGGATGAAAGGCCAGGAGGTTATTACTGGGTGGCCTTGCTGAGTAGATAAGACAAATTAATTGTTATCTAATCCGGGAGCAGCTAGGACTCCAGATCCACTTGCCTGGGCTGTAAGCTCCAATTCCACAAAGCCCCTACCCCGCTGCAAACACCGCCCAGCCCTTCCCTGGGCCACACCTACCCTCACCTATCCCACCAGCAGGTGGGTGAGTGGGTCGGGAGGCAACTTGCGGGCACAAAGTCTTCACCATTTTGTAACTTCTGAGCGTTGCGTTTAAATCACTGCAGCCCCCCTGGGAGGGTCCATGCCCCTGGGTGACTCTAGAACCTTTTGTGTCCCTCCAGCCTCCCTTACCGGGAAGTTGAGAGCCTATGGAAAGGCTCTGGGCTATTATCACAGGGGTGGTATAGGACGGAAATAGCTAGGAGAGGGCTGTTTGAGTCTTGAGATATCCCTGTTCACCCGCCCCCCTCCCACCCCGCTCCTTAGCTCCCAAGGTCTCAGTGGCGTCACCGCTGTCTCCAGTGCCATTCTTACAGGGGCCGAGCATGGGCGGGACACCTCCCCTTTCCCAAGTCCTCAGTCACTGTGCACCCATCTCCCCTGCAGGTGAAGGAAGACTGGAGGTATGTGGCCATGGTCATCGATAGGATATTCCTCTGGTTGTTTATCCTCGTTTGCTTCCTGGGGACCGTCGGACTCTTTCTCCCTCCGTTCCTAGCTGGAATGATCTGATGCCACATCGCCTGCTTTGGCCCAGACGTGGCATAGCTGACGGTCTTTAACGGCTGCTGCCTCTGGAGTATGCCTTCGGGGTCAACGCCATCCAACTACAGGTGCCTTTCCGTGGCGTCCGGACACGGAAGCCTTCTTGGGATGATTCACTTGACAGTATTGTACTTTGTGCTGAGAATCTGCCGGGCACGGAGCCCTGTTTGGATGCTGAAGAGCTGGGCCAAAAGGAACTTGCTCTGCAGAAGGTTACGACGTGGTGATGACAACGTGAAGACGTATAAGATGCTCCTGGGATGCAGACTCTGAGGGATGCGGGTGGGGGGAACCCAGGGGTTGGGGAAGGGCCATGAGAGGAGGCTCAGACCTCAAAGGAGGGGTGCGTAGGGAGAGAGCGCCTCAGGGGCGTGGAAGGGCTATGAACAGCATTTGGGATTCAGGAACAGCCCGAAAAGGCAGGGGGGACAGCCAGGCTGAGGTGGGCTTGAGGATGGGGAACAGAGGGAGGAGGTTGGAAGGGGAAGAGAAGGAGGAGGGCCACAAGTGGGGCGGATGCAGGTAGCTGGGCCGTCCCACCCACCTGGAAGCTCTTGTGACAGCCCAGACTTCCCCTACCTTTAGCCCCAGCCTTCCCCGTGCAGACCCGCTCAGCACCAGCCGGCCCTCCGAGAGGTGTGGCCGCACCGAGAGTCCCCGTCTGCAGGGGCGCTATCTGTCCTTCAATGCGCGTGGACAAACCAGAAGGACACCCCCAGCCATTCCTGACCCAACTCAGGCCCGCGGTGCGCTCCCCCCCCCCCCCCCCCCCCCCCCCCCCCCCCCCCCCGGCCCACACACAGGATGAGTGGGTGGTCAAGCCCCAGGCATCCAGGACTTTTGCTCGGAGGAGCTGAGAGGAACGAGCTGGATGGCTTTGCACCCCGAGACGTTGCAGGACCCCTTCCCTTCCCAGCCTGCCCGCCCTTCTTACCCGAAGCCCCGCGATGTCTTCTGACCGGCTCTGTGCAGCCTGTCTTGCCCCCTGAAATCCCGCAGTCCCTCGCCCCAGCGCCGTCCAGCCCAAGGGCAGAACCTCGGCCCTAACAGATGCGGCACTGGGTCCTCCGGACAGGGTGGGGACTCTGGACGAGCAGCCAAGCAGGGCAAGCACCTAGTTCTCTTTGACCTTCAGAGTCCCCTCCTTCTAAGCTCCACTTGCTCTCCCTGACAGACCCCGGGGGACCCTGCCACAGCGGGCCCAGTCCTCCTGCCTCAGTTCTCTGCAAGACCCCCCCACTCAGAGGCCATTCTGGTTCCTTCTGCTCTGCCGATGCAGCTGCAACCTCCGCCGTCCTCCCCGCTGGCTCTCCTGGAGCAGTGGTGCTCCCAGACTTGACCTCCTGGTGCAGCGATGTTCCCTCTTGTTATTCCGTTTCCCACCCAACTGGCAAGTGAGTCAAGAGATCAAATAAAGCTGAAGGGCTGCTCAGTCAGCTGTGGGACCCCTCCCCAGCACCCCTGGAACCACCGCACCCCCTCAGAGCCCTGGCTATTTGATGGCAGCTGGGAGAGTGCCATTGGCATCCCTGTGTGGCCCCGGAGGGGCTGCCTGGGACCCCACTGGAAAGTCGCCCTTGGCTCAGGTGCGGGGAGCAAAGGCCTGGGGCAAGCGCCTGACCCCGCCGCCCTGGCGTCACCGCGAGCCCTGGCATCACCGCGAGCCCCGGGGGGTTGAGCCCTGGCTTCGGCCTTTGATCTTCGCCCAAAGTAAGCACAATCGATTCCTTCCAGGGCCGAGGCCCGAGGTCATCGTTACCCGCCCCGAAGGTCAAACAAACAAAACAATCAAACCACAAAGCAAATGGTACAATTTTAATTCCTCCACAAGTCAAATAGAAAGAAGGTAAAAGAGTGTTCTGCACAAACACAAGAACGGGAGGGAGGGCGTGGATGAGAAAGGGGGAGAGAAGACAAGTAAGAAAAGAGAAGGAAGGGGCCAGGGAGGGAAGAACGGAAAGGGGGCGAGGAATGCGGGTCCAGTTTGGCCTCGTCTCTCCCCTTCTCCCCTCTTGGCGCGTGGACAACACAGCCTCCTGTGTCCCGACTCCCAGTAGCTTGTCCCTGGACTGTCCCAGGTCTCCCCTCAGGGGCACATACGGCTGTCAGTCCAGACCAAACTCACATTAAATAAATTCCACTATACACTGTACAAGAAAGCCAGGTCCATCCCTCATGGCACCAGCCGCCCGCCTACCCAGAGAGAGCCCCTCCCGGCCCCTCCCTCTGTGCACGGCGTGGGGCGGGGCTCCGTGGGCGGGGGAGGAAAGAGAAGGAAGAGCTTGGTTCCCCAGTCAGCCCGCCCTTCACAGGACGCGTAAAGCCATCGTGGCCGCAAGGGGCCCCAGCGTGGCCCCCTCAGGCCAGGCAGCAGTGGCTGGCGGACAGCAGCCACGCTCCCTCTGAGCCCTCTTTGTCACCCCCTGCCGTCTGCAGCCCTGAGTCACCTCTGTCCAGCTGCGGCCTGAGCAGCACAGTCTGGGGGCGGGGTGGGGAGAGGGGACGTGCAAAATGGCAGGGGAAGGAGGACTCTCCTCGCCTGCCCCCCCCTCCCCGGGGGGACCCATAGGACCGAAGGTCAGGCAGGGGCCGGGGCAGGGAGGGACACGGCGGGCGGGGGCGGAGACGCAGGCGGGAGGCGTTGCCCTCTTCACTCTGCCAGCGGCTGGGCCAGGTTGGCCAGAACCTTGGCCTGGTCCACGGCGTCCAGCAGGTTCTTGGCATCCACAGCCAGCGTGTGGGAGGCGGTGAGCATCTGCCGTTTGCACTCCTCACTCAGGGAGGTCACGGCGTTTTGCTGCGCCAGTCGCATCTTATTGATGAGCTCCGCCAGGTCCTTGTTGAGCAGTTTCTGGGTCCCCTCGATCTGTAGGAAGAGCACACGGGAGGGGCTGGGACCCTGAGGGGCCGCGACGTGCAGGCCGGGAGGATGGGGAAGCCACACGGGAGTCCACCCGGCACTGGGGGGTGGGTCTGACCCAGGCTTGGGTTGAATCCAAGGCCAGTGCGGGCTGGGGGCCAGGTCGGCAAGAACAGACACTGCAGGCACCCCAGGCCCCAGCCCGCCTACGCCAGCCCCCTCCGATCCAGCCCCAGAGACCCTCCCTTTGTGCCATCATACCCTCGTGCTGGCCCGACGTGGGTGAATGGTCAGGGGTCAAGTGCATTCACTCATTGGTTAACTGTGTACCATCAAATCAAGAGATCAGCGACAGCGGTTTGGGCTGTAGGGTTTTATCTACTACCATATCCCCGTGCCTAGTGCACTGCTGAACATACACTTGGCGCTCAAGAGATATTTACCAAGTGAAATGAATGACTGCCACTCTCAAGCCGGACGGGGGCTCCTCTGGGTTCTTGCTGCCACCCAGAGGGGGCGCGGGAAATGCCCAGACCCTCCTGCCCTATGCGTGGTCACAGTGGGGACAGTGGTGGGCTGCAGGGGTCGCCTGTGTCACATTGCTGACCACCGGGAGATGGTGGATCGAAAGCTACAGCCTGGCAGGGGGTGCGGTGTTCTGCTGGAGCCTGTGGTTGGTTTCCAGACAGAAAACCGACACACGTTCAGAGGCACAGCCTCGGTCTCCAGTTCTGCGGCAACAAATTACCACAAACGCTGTGGCTTAAAACAACGCAGGTTCATTCTCTTACAGCTCTGGAGGTCAGAAGTCCGGAATGGGTCCCATGGGGCTAATGTCAAGGTGACGGCTGGGCTGCGTTCCTTCCGCAGGCTCAAGGGGAGAATCTGTTCCCTGCCTTTTGCCGCCTTGAAAGGCTGCTGCCTTCCTTGGCTTGCGGTTCCTTCCAGCAGTGGCATCATTCCAACCCCTGCTTCTATCATCAATCTCCTTCTCTGACTCATAAGACCTCTGCTTCCACCTCCCTCTTACAAGGACCCTTGTGACTACATTGGACCCACATGGATAATCTCAAGATCCTTCACTTAATCCCATCTGCAAAGTCCCTTTTGTCATGTAAGGTCACGTAGTCACAGGTTCTGAGGATGTAGACATCTTAGGGGGGCGTCACTCTGCCTACCACTGGGACCATCTCAAGTTAGAGCACCAACACTCCCATTTTGGTTTTCAGTGATTGTTTCTCACTTAAATAGAGAAAATCGATTAAATGATCAATTGAAGAAACCTTAACGGCTCTTTCTGTGACACACTCACCTTGACCTTAGTATGGAGGGTACTAGACAAAGAATCACGGGGGCGGTAAAAAGAAGGGTGTGTCATCCTTTGCATGTCCTCACGCAATAAGAAGTCATCACAACCATCTGAGACCTAAACTAGGAAATTCGCCCTAGGAAGCCGGCCGGGTCCCCGGGTGCCAGCTCGGCCCCCTTGTGGTGCCTTCCCAGATATGCCGTGCAGAGCCATCCGCTGGCGGCTCCCAGCAGACAGGAGGCTGCCCCAGGTGGCCCTTCTGAGTCTCCTGTGTGAAACACAGCTGGGGCAGGCGAAGGGGGCATGTGACAGCTGATGTCACCGACTGGCACAAGGACACTCACCTCTGTCCGCGAAGACGACGGCAAGGACGGCAGGAGGTCGTCCACACTCGCGATGAGCTTCCGCAGCGTCAGGCCCACGTTCTGGGAGAGAAAGGGGCGGGGCGACCGTCAGCTTGGCTTCTTTTGAGAAAGCCACGTCTCCCTGGGGAAGAGCCCTCCTGGGATGGTGCCTGCCTGCTGAGGGTACCTGGGACTAGATTCCCTTTGACCACCTGGCTCTAATGGGGGTCTTCCTGGGAGAGGCACCTAGCCGGCAGCCTGGGATGCTCGGCCCCTCCCCCTTCCTTCCAGGGCTGAGCAGCCCGCCTCCCCAGGCCATGGCTTTGCGCTGCCTCTCACCTTCACCACCACCACGTAGCCCTCGGGGGGCAGCTGGCAGAGCTCATTCTTGAGGTCCAGCACAGCCCGCACCAGCTCCATGACGTTGAGGTACACCAGGTCGTGGGTCCGGTCCAGGTTGGCTGTGGGCTGGATGGACTGTGTGGGTCGGGGGAAGAGAAGCAGAGGGCCCGAGGGGAGGGCGGCGAGTCAGGGGCACACAAGCCATTCTTTCCTGGGCAGGCACTGCCCACTCACGCGTCAGCCCAACTGCTGAAGCCTCTTCTCCGAAATAGTAGCGCCCTGTCCTGGGGGTGCCTCCCTCCCTTCTGCTTCCAGGGCAGTGGTTCTCACATTAGAGTCTGCCAGGGAGTCTTAAAAAAATACTGCTGGCCGGCCTCACACCAGACCAACTGAACCATCCCCTGGGCCTGGGGGCCACGTGGTTTCAAAGCTTGTCAGAGGATTCTAACGGGTAACCAAGGCTGAGAACCGCTGTTCCAGAGTGAAGCAACCAGCATCGGCCCCACAGCCACGTGGGTGCCGGGAGCCAAAGCGCGGCTGGAGAAAGGGAGGCGGGCCACACCCCCTGCTCCTCGGGCTGGACCAGTGAGCTTTCCTCCAGGTCAGGGAGGGGCCACGGGAGACGGGGCACTGGCCTTCCCTTCGCTTTTTTATGAATTAGCTGTGGCCTTAGACAAGGCCAGCTTCAGCAGAGCCAGCACGTACCTGCGCGCCCAGCCTCGGTGGCTTCTCTGGGGGGCCCGTGAACTCCGCTGCAAGGGGGGAGGGGGGACAATGAGCGCAGGGTGTTCTCAGCACCCCGACCCCTCCCTTCGTACCTGCTGCTAACCCAGCAAAGCCCCTCTCCACTACTACGAGGAGACCCGGGGAAATGAAACCCGAATTCCAGGACGATGGTGGGGAAAA